CGGCGGAGGAGGCGGAAGCGGGGAATCTTTCACCGGGAAAGATTACGCCAGGCGTGTGTTTTCGTCGGCTTTAAGCCACCAAATTATATCCCTAATGCGGCACACTCACGGCGAGGCTGTGCAGTAACTCCTAGCACCTACCCTAAGTCGAGGCTCCGGTTTAAGGAGGAGTGAGGAAACGTAAATGCGTGAGGTAGACACAAATGGTCCGCCACCGCTTCACGTATTATCAGCAGCTTAGTCTTAGGCAGAGCCAACGTAAAGCAGTCCAGTCGCCGTTGGAGGCTCTTCAAGCATGTACATTTTCTCTGCATCAAAGCTTTTCAACGATATTTAATGAGATTTTACACTCAGTTGTTGTAAGTAGGGGAGCGTATCTGACTCGAGGCACTTCCTTCTTTGCTCTTCTTCAAGCACTGCCCATTGCTGTATACCCGTAAATAAGTTACTTGCGCCTTTATTTTTCGCCCATGCACCATAAGCATTAGTCAAGTACGATAAGTTGCATCATCACTTTGGCCTCATTCTCCTGCCTGAGGAACCAAGTAAGATATCTAATTCTTCCATAGACTGATTACTGAATTATAAAACTACGCCATTTGATGTTTGATACCTTCGATAGTTCCACCCACAACAAATTAATAGGCTGTTTATCGTTTGATTTTCAGCACGTTTTAAGAGCGGCGAAATTTAATGATGATATATTATGTTGAATGACGTAGCCATGTTAATGTGGCAGGACATTATCACAGAACTTAATTTTAAGTCTCTTACTTTTAACTTAAAGTTTTCTTAACTATCAAGCACGATAACGTGCTTGATGAATGCTTGTGGTGCATGGGCGAAAAAAAAAAGCCGAAAAGGAGCGCCTCGAGTCTGGTGCGCTCCACTACTTACAAAAACAGAGTGTAACATCTCATTAAATATCGTTGAAAAGCTTATATGCAGAGAAACGAAAACACAAAACAAAACCCTTCCCAGAAAAAAGCAGTACTTTTGGGACAGCTTATGTATGTATAGTGAAGGAACTTTAGAAATCTGAATAAAATTGTTTAGTCGATTCTTGGCGTTCCAGTTGAGAAAGTAAGAGCCGCCCGTTTTCAGAATTTTGCGGTAGTCTAATACACAATAATTGCCAATTTTCATTTTCCTTTCAAATGTGCAGAATATCAATCATTTGACGTATTTATGATAAAAGGGACCATCTACGAATTATTATTTTGATTTAATTCATTAATACATTGTTTCTCCTAGCATAAATACACACAGTTTTTTGAGAAGTCCGTGTTTAGAACAAATCAAATCCTAATTTTACCGTACACAATGAGAAATTTAAGAGATTAGAGATCCCTCGGTACATGACCTCGCTAACCAATTTTTAATGAGGGAAACGAGGTTTTTAATTCGACTCAACACGCCGAGCGTTATAAGAGATTTTCCTCCGCCTCAGTCGGAGGTTTTTTTTTTACCTGCTCTGCGAGGACGTCAGAGGGTTTATTAAAAATGAATTTTACATTAAAAAAGAGAGTCGGAGGATGAACGGAATGGCGCATGGCGTTACTCCCACAATCCTTTTTCAGGAGGAAGCGTTTTACGAGAAGCGCCGCAAATGCTTCATTAATAAGAAATGAAAATTCATGACCGCGATAAAGCGCTTTTATCTCCTCCTTATTTTTTCGCCCAAAACCTCTTAGATCTTGGCTTTTGAATCACAGGCGATCCTTCTTCGCTTAGTCAGGGCTGGCCAAACTTTCTTTCTAAGCACTTTCTCGGCTTCGTCATGTTTAGTCGTATTGGGGAAAATGTTCCGTATTCGTGACGTTTCGCGGGAAAAGAGACTGAAGTCCACAAAAACTTGAAATCTCAATATTGATGCAATAATATAGAGGAGTTCTCTCCGAATATTTTACGACGAAAATGCCAAAAAAAAAATGGGGTTATGACCTTTAGAGAGGCCATTCTTAATACTGAGTCTCGAGGTAAAACGATTTAAAATTCTACTTTAACGTGTTCAGAGTAAAAAATTGGCGGATTTCAATGCCACATTACACTATCTGTAGACTTAAAACGTTGATCGTGAGTGAAATAGGTACCTAAGTGTTGAGGCTGAAACGTAGGTGTTCCTATGTGACAACCGAGGATTTTCACCCAAAAATGGAACTTGTATCTCATTTCCTTTCGGCTCATGATCAATGGGTCTTGCTCTTAAGTATTGTTTGGACATATACATTAACGTAACAACGGTTGCACTTACCTTTAACACAATTTTGATTTCTTTTCTAAGCTTCATGAATTCGCAACGAACCTCGCACGTCTGTTCCTCCAACATTTTTCAGGTGCAAAGGAAAAATTCTAATTTGATAGTTTTAGGAGTCGATCGATGAATTCAATGCTGCGAATAGTTTATGGAAAATGCAAGGAAACCCACGGGAAGTCAAGTAATTTTGATTCAAGGAAAATGTCATAAACTTCAGCTAAATCCCTTGTTTGTTTGTAATGATTGGTTCGTATTTAATGCTCGTCGGTAATATTACTGTCTTTTGGAATTTTTCAATCAATATGTTAACGAGACATTTTTTAGTACCACTACCACTAAAAAATTAAATTATAGAAAAACCATTATCGGCCTTTGTGCTTTGTCATCAAAAGCATATAATAAAGGTATTACAGATTAATCCATTCCAAATATGTTAGGCCTCTCTTTACCATCTTGTTGTTGAGCTAGTGCGTTGAATGTATTGCCACTAGTTTACTAGAATTCTAGAGGGAGGTTGAAATCACAGAGCTCTCCGTATTGGCTGAGCACTTGGCAAGGAATTACTGGGAAAATTGGTAATTTTGCTGAACTCTTTTGAATCAGTGTTCTGCCTTCTCCGGGCGCCATGCGCCAAATGCGCCTAAAAATCGGGCCTTTAAAACTTGAGGGTGGGGGCTGGGCTATAGTGGTGCCTAAAAAATTTGACTGATTGAACTCGCAATCGGGGAGCAGCGGTAGCGATAAAGCGCTCTCCTTACGCACCGTTCGCAGCATCGTCGGGACCCGAATGCAAAAATTTAATTTGGCGCCTAAAAATAGTACAGTATACTCTGGATTATCCGGCTCCGTATTATCCGGACTCTGGATTATCCGGATCGATTTTGCAACCATGTAAGTACGTACGCATTCCGATAAGTGAGCGGATCCGCGGAGAAGCGGTCGCAAGGCATATTGGCGCCTGCAAGGCTGAAGGAATACTTCAAGCATTGCGCTAAACAGTGAGGTCGGCGTGGAACGCATTAGCGCCTACTAGATTGCATAAATACTTCTCGCACCACGCCAAACGCAGTGCAGTCGGTTAGTTAGCCTGAAACGCACATTAGCGGCTACAAGACTGCATGAATACTTCACGCATTGCGCGCTTTAATCGTTGTATTGTAATTTATCGTTGTCGGCTACCATTCACAATCACCATTGAGTCGTTCAGTTTGGCGTCAATCTTTTAAATTCGTGTTGGTATGTACATGATGTATACATAATAAGGATACTGTGGTGTTGGTTGGTAATGTTTGTGTTTACTATTATTATCCGGATCTCTTTTTCATCCGGATCGGGCCCGGCACCAATTAATCCGGAAAATCCAGAGTCTACTGTAGATGGCTTCCTAAAAATTGGGCTTTTCGGCCAAGTTGGCTCCTAAAATTTTAGAGGAAAGGCAGAACACTGTTTTGAATCTCGAATCTTGAATCTTGAATCGTGGATGAAGGGTTTCGGCAAGTTGAGCTCGGCATTTCGGCAACATGGTCCTTTTAAGTGGGTTACGGATGTCTTTTCAGGAATCATACTCCATTGCCTTCATCCGTAATCCGTTTGTCATCTGAAAAAGGAGTCCCTCCCCGGTTCCCCACTCCTCAACCCCCGAGTGCCCCTCCCCCCCCCGCCCACTCATCGCAGTCCTATCATTAAAATAACGTCGCCGTTTGAGTGACGTGATTACCCTGCCTCCTGTTCAGCTTCCACCCCCTCGTCCAAATCGCAATGCAACCCCCGACTTCCCGCGGGGCGGAAGCGGCGTTACTCCCGCCATCGGACAACGCAGCCAACTACAGACACTATTGTCTCCTCTCTAATTGTGTCACGAAATTAATCAAATCCACGACTGTAATAGGTGTTGCGCGTCTAATTAATCGAAATTAATTTCAATGGTTTTGCGTTCGGGAGCCTGTCGGCACCTCGGAAGGAAGAGATTTTTCACCGGTGAAGTTTTGGTTTCCGACTGCGTGGTTTCGTGGTTTTTCCTGAGGGCTTGGCGTTCCTTGATCGAAAAGGCTCTCTCATTTATTCTGCCGTGCTAAGGAAAAACGTCGTATGAACATTCGAGAGTTGCCAAATTTCCTCCCATGAAATGTTTATTTTTGAGAAAAAAATATTATTATTTTTCCTTGATATTTTCATGAATTTTGGGTGACATTGCGAATAAAATTATTTGAAAAACCGGAAGAGAAATATTCACATGTTTACTAGGAAATTCACGTGTTATTAATGGAAATTTGGCAACGCCTGAAGGTTCATACGGCGTTTTTCCTTAGCACGGCAGTATTGTCGATCAATTGCGTCTTCCGTAATCTTACATCTCCACGAGATGAAGCATGATGCCGTCGAATACTTCGTGAATACTAATACAGCGTAAACTTTTTGAAAAGATCTTTTTTACAAAATAAATCAGGATCTCGATGTTGGACTAAAAATAACTCATAAAGAAGAATTTACTTCAGATGGATAAGATTTTAAATTTAAATACACTGCGTGTTTAATGATGTAGTGTTTTCGTGAAAAAGGAGTCATGACGTATGACGGTTTCCATGAAAACTTCGTTTGTCCGATGTCAGCTTGTGTTGAGAAGTTGATTAGGGTCCTCGAGAATGCATGAGTTTTAAACTGTTAGCTGTGTTTGATTAATAATAAAAGTTTTTTTTTGTTCATTTTTTTTTCTTCTTCAAATCGAAAAAGAAACGTACGACAATTAAATGAAATATGCTTTTTTATTTCAAAACAACTTATTCTTCTCATTACACAAGGAAAGCTGCCAACAAACAAGAATGCGCATTTTGTTTATGTTCTTTGCTCATATAGCGCTCGACAAATTTACATGTTTAATGTACAAAAGTGTTTTTATTTTACATTTAAAGCTTATGTTACAAATAATACAAAAATAATTTCAAAGTTGGCCACATGTTAAAAATATTGAATGTTGAAGCATATTTTTCTGACAGATTGAGTGCTAAGAAGTGTCTCGTCAGTTGATTTTTATGCCTCAGATTGTGCAATTTATATTATTTGCAAATCATTCCTGTTTTTTATTTTTAATATTTTATCAATGGTTTGTGAACTGAGCGCTTAGTATGCAGTTGAATAACTATTGTCCTTGCACGCGTGTATCTGTACATTTCTCAGCTGCTTCAACACTTGATAGTTGTTATTTTTATCAAAATAGCTAAGATCAAAGTCACTCAAATCAACTTAAGGTTCACAATAAACAGTCTCTTTTTTTCAATTTTTTCAAAGAGAATAATGTGGTCGAACATCAACTAATAATCACTCATTTAGTCTATAAAGTAAAAGTTCTATTTACAGTCACCATATTCAATACAAATCCATTTACATGTTAATTACAGCTGCAGCAGGTATGCTGTTATGGATGTCTTTCGCATGTTCTACATCTACTTAACAATTAATTTAGAACAAATTAAGTGCAGATATCCAGAAAACAGCAAACGAAATTTAGTCCAGTTCATTAGACTACCGTAAAAATTCCTTCACGCTTACAAAAGAGATTGGGCAAGAAATAAAGCATTTCGAAAATTTGGTGGATATGCCTTTCTTCTACAAAACTGCCTAGCGCTGCCATTTTTAGCAGATTTATGACGGTCGAATACCTTGCGTGTTTGATAACAATATTGAAAATCATAGTTTGTGCCCTTACTTACTTTCCCTGGAAAAAAATCTCTTGGATCCAGAGTCCGGACTCTTAAAAAAATTGACAAAAATAAATACTCTCGATTCGAATGGATTTTTCGCTTAAATTATGAGCCGTGGCTGTCAATTTAAGAAAAACTCTGATTGAATCAAAGAGTATTTTTTCCTGTCCAACTTTTTAAAAGTCTGGACTCTAGATCCATGAGTCTTTCTGTTTTCAGTGATCTTTAATAACTAGGAAACTCCTTATGCTGGGGAAGGTGGCTCCGAAATTTCGTATTTTTCCATTAAAGCAGTTTTTCAAACGGACCGCATTTAGCAATTGGGAACAACAATTTCTGGCTCAGTTTGAAACAAATTATTTACTATTAGTTTCCCCGTGCTCATACATGTTACGGATGAGCCAGAAATTTCAAACTCGGAAGAAGTCTTTTGGATCCCGAGTCCAGACTTGTAAAAAATTTAACAAGAAAAAATACTCTTGATTCAATCGAAATTTTATTTGAATCGAAAGGAAACCGTTTAAATTATGAGGCTTGGTTCTCAATTCAAGCAAAAATCCGATTGAATCAAGAGTATTCATTCTTGTCAAATCTTTTAAGAGTTTGGACTCTAGATCCGAGAGACTTTTTGTTCCAGCGTAGTTCCTGATTCCAAAATGTAGTCCAAATGTTAAACAAGACGTTTAAAGTGAAATTTTGGTAGAACCTCATTTTGGTCCCTTGGCAATAAGTACGATGCTTCCACCTTCAAAACACAGCATTCCGTCGAAAACTCAATTTCTGGAAAGGCGTTTACTCCCTTCTGTAAATACCTGTTCAGCGGGTAGATTGTTGAAATTGATAGAGAAAGCTATAGAGAAAGAAGACAAAAGATATATGGAGGGGTCCTATTGGTGGAAGCGGGTGATTGAAATAGACCAAAGAGGTAGTTAATAGACTATAACTAACGGCGACTCACGAGAGACCCGATAGTTAGTCCATCATTTACCCCCTTAGTCTGTAAGGACCACCCAAATTAACCAATAGGATCGCTCCAAACTCATTATGTCCTCCTTGTCTGTCGCTTCGTCTATCAATCTCAACAATTGGTCCGCAGTTATCATTACCTGTCTGAGTAAACTCTGGATTCCAATCCTCTCTGTGGCTCATGGTCCAGTTACACGATCAAATTGAGTCATCAAATTGAAGCTCTGATTGGTGGAAAAAGACCTGAGGTGAGGATGCGACCAATGAGAGGCCCAATTTGATGGCTCAATTTGATCGTGTAACTGGACCTTCTTGTGGAATAAAGTCAGAACCTCTCCTCGCTACCGGGAGACTGCGCCTCGAGTCACCAGCGTTGCGGCTCCTTGAAATTGGTTAGACTATTTATCTCGTAGTCGCTCTCCTCGAGGATCTGCTGGTCGCCGAGCTCGTACATGTTGAGCCGTCGGCACCAGGTCCAGTGCGAGATGAGCATGAGCGACAACGTGAAGAGGAGCACGCTGACGATGAGCAGAAACACGAGCATCCCCGGGTGCGAGCCGCCCTTGTCCAGCTCCTCCTTGCCCATCTTCTTGTCCGCCAGTTGTTCGCTCCCCAGGTCTGACGACGTCTTGTCGCTGTCTCCTTTCAGTTGCTCTCGGGATAGGCCTTGCTGTGAGGGATTAACCGCTCCATCTGAAGATCCGCCGTTTCTTATGTCCCTGGCAACACCTATTTTTTCATCTGGAGTTGCGATTATGCTCGACTTGCGATGCTTATCATTTTTATTTTGGTTGCTCGGTGTTTCATCGACCGGTAGTCCCATCATTTCTGCAAGATTCATCACTTTGTTCTTCTCGATTCCAGTGTTTTCGCCCTGATTTGTTTTACTTTCATTTAACGTTGGAGTTGATGTTGATTTACTACTTTCATTGTTCTTTTGACTTTTCCCGTCCATCCTAGTTTTCACTGGTTTTCCTACATTACGCTCACTGTTGTCTGTAACGTTCTTGTTTTCTGAAACATGTCCAGGCGTGTCATTCATTCGTGAATTATCATATGCCTCGTCGGACGGGCTGCTTCTATCGTTTACTTCTGGAACATGCTTTGGAGTGTTGGACTTCAGATCTGTGCCTAGTCTCTCAGCCGTTCTTTCTTCTTGTTTATGGGGGATTTTGTCATTAACTGTATCAGGTATTATTTCACTATGAGTCATCAGAGCACGTCCTCTCTCTGTGAATTTGCCGTTGCTGTTTTTCGTACCTGTTATTCGAGTCTCTTCAATTTTTTCTCGCTTCGTCTGATCTTTTCTTGACCTCGTCTCTTCTTCTTGTTTCTCGGAACTGACGGTCGTCTCCTGGAGTGTAGGTGGCGTAATTGCCTGGCTTGTCGTTTCGTTTTTTATTTTTTTACTCAGTTTCTTCCTTGCCGGCCGCGATCCAAAACGTTCGTCATGTGTTTTGCTCTTGCGCGGTTTTTGCGTCGTGGTCGTCTGCTCGTTGACTTTTTCCGATGTTTCTGACATTGTAGGATCTATGGTGGTTGTGGAAACAATTCTTCGGTTATCACTCTTACCATATTTTCCTTTAACGCTACTTTTACTATCGGCAGTAACTTTGGCACTACTATTGTACTTTGGGCTACCCTCACTTGTGTGCGTCATGACTGAGTAATCGCTCGGCTCTTGCTTTGTGATCGAGGAATTTCCTGCGGGGGCCAAATCGTGAGAGCCGATCTGAGAATTTTTAGTTTTTTTAGCTGTTGTGCTTTCAGGTACCTTAACGGAAGTGTGATTATCATGCGCAGGTGTGGTTGTTGGATTACCGGTCTCATTAAATCGTGATTCGGGTCTCGAAACGTTCTGATTTCTTCGGGATCCTGATCGGCTCAATTGAATGTGCGTCTTATTTATGGTTTTCACCTCAAGTTTTGATGCTTTTGCCTCGTCGAGTTCCGATGACGTCAGACTCGATGCGAAAGGACCGTCAGCCTGGATAGGTTCGGTCGTCGCGTACTCTACGTCTTTGCTGTGCAGTACGCCAAAACTCTTAAGTACTGCGGGACTCTTCGATTGCGTCGTGTTAACGTCAGGTTCGTCGCTTTGGTAATAAACCTCATCACTTTTTTCCACCGTCGAAACGGAGTTTGAAACCACATCACCGATATCGGAACCTTCATGATTCAGTCCTTCTGTTTTCAAAAGCACGAGTTGTTCGGGTGCAGAAGTTTGGATCTCCTGAACCGTCGATTTTTTCGCTTCCGTTCGTTCTTTCATTGAAGTCAAGTTTTTGCTTTTTCTACTAGTCTTTGTATCTTCAGGTAGTTTATTTGTTTTGGTAGGCGGATGAATTTGCTCGGTTGATTTTTCTTCATAGCGCTCTTTGATCTTCGTACCTTCAAGTTTAGGTACATCGGCCCGGTCGGCTTTCTTACCGCTCGTTGTTTCAAACTTCAAATCAGTCAGATACTTTCCGCGTTCCTGCTCCGGTGAAAAGCAAACGGGAATTTGAACTTCAACGCTTTCATTTTTTTGTCGGTCGGGAACGTTTTCTTGCGTTAATTGTATACTTATTGTGACGGATTCATCCCTCCTATTTGCCTCGCCGGAGCTTTCATCTGTAAAATTAGGTTTCAAACTCAACAGCCACTCTTTCAACCAGCTTAGCCCTGAGCAGTTGAGTGGATTCTGAGATAGATCGAGCGTGTCCAGGCGTCTAAGATTTTTCGCCAATATATGATTCAAGGTCGTCAAATTGGCGTTAGCCAGACTCAAATACCTCAAACGGCTCAAGGCTTGCTGAGCAGACTGGTCCAGCGCCAGCTGATGAGCGAGCACCGGACTCGATTCCAAGTCGATCTTTTCAACATGGTCCAGCTCGGTGAAGGGAAACGTCTTATCGCAGCTTACAATGCCTGCACAGCTAAGTCGATCCAGGCCTGATAGCTGTAAATTCACAACCCTCAGACCTACGAAATGTCTATTGGTAAGCACTACTATCGGATTATTCGACAAGTCTAAGTGATCTAAACTGCTAATTGCATTAAAAGCTGTCTCCTCTATGTACTCGATTTTATTTCTATTCAGTATTAAGACCCGCAGGTTTGCTAGTCCTTGCAGATCCGTGCTATTTACACTATCGATGCGGTTAGCCCCCAGATCTAGGTAGCGCAATCCTGGTGGGAGGCTCAGTGGGATTTGCCGGAGATGATTGCCGTGCAGGTTCAATTCCAGCAGATACTCCAGCCGACCCAGACTGTCCTCCTCGACCGTCGTTAGTTTATTGCCTTTCAGAGTCAGATTCCGGAGGAGGGGATAGCTGTCCATCTCGCCGCACTGGAGCGAGACCAGCTCGTTATCAGACAAATCCAACTCCCTGATGGACCTGGTCAGCGCTATCGGAATTCGCGTCAGCATCGTGGCGGCCATTTCTAACCGTTCGAACCTCTGCCCAGCGCTCAGAATAAAGTTCTCCTCCGAGCTGCGGAAATTGTCGTTCAATCGGAGCACCAGGAGGTCGCTCAGGTACTCGAAGATGTCCAGGTTCAACCGAGTGAACCGGTTCCCGGACAGGTCCAGGGTTTGGAGGTTCCGCAGGTGGTCGAACGTCTCCCGCCGCAAACTCTCGATCTGGTTATTGTTGAGCGCCAGAGTCAGGAGCCGCGAACTCTCAGCAAAGGCCTCGTCGATGTCCACGATGAGGTTGTACGACAAGTCCAAGTGTCGGAGGTTTTCTAGAGGAGTGAAGATTCCTCGGATGTTCCGCAACCTATTGTGGCTGAGGATCAAAGATTGTAAACCGCTGAGTGAGGTTGCGGTCTTGAACTGAGCGGGATCGTCGAAGGTGAGGTTCCGCGCGTAGTCGACGATGAGCTGGATCGTCGACGTCCGGAACCTCAGGTTGGCGATTGCATTGTGGGAGAGGTTGAGCGCGGAGGCGAATGGTACCGGGAGGACCAGGTTGGGAACGAAGTCGATGCTCGGCGCCGCGCTCAGGTTTCCGGCAGCTCGGAGGTGCGCGCAAAATCGGCCGTGGCCCGCGGCGAAGCAGATGGAGCTGGGGGTCGGCGCATCGCCGGAGCTGGGGGTCCGCTCCCCGCAAATGCCGACCACGATGAGAGCGACGATGAGGGATCTTACCGAGGCGTCCATGTCTCTTGCTCGCCAGGAATCGCTCGTGGCATTTTCGAGACTAGTCCACGCGCATTGGTCCGCAGCTTCTCGTCACGCCTTCCGGGATCTCCAACGGCGGTCGGCTCCCCCTGCGAACAGGCCAAGAAATCGTGTTAGAAAAATGATGAGTCGCATCTTCCATCTGTATCTTTTTTAGCAATCACAGGGTGTCTATAAGTCAAAGATATTGTAACAGTTAGACATGCGGTACGGGCTTACCTATGGCGGGGCATCTGGACCTGTTAGGGGGTACATGCGCCTGATGGGTAGGCAGCATGTTTTACGCAGAGGTGAACTCTCCCAATAGGAAACGCATTGAAGGAATGACCGCTTGAGTTCGCATCTGTGTAAAACACGCTGCCTATCTGCCAGGCGCATGCACCCCCTAAAAGGTCCAGGTTACCCCGCCCTAGCCGCATATCTAACTGTTGCAATATCTTCGCTGCAAGTCCGGAAATTCCAGAGAGTCTGGAAATAGTACTGATTTGTTGAAGGGGGTCCGGAAGTACTGAAAAGGTACGGAAATCCCGCCAAAGGTTCAGAATTTTTCTCATTTTTTTGTCATTTTTGTCGCAATTTTAGCAAGAAATTCGATTTTTTGAAAATTTCCGAATTTTGTTTAATTGAGGCACTGAAAAAGCACTGAATTTTTCTATCGAGGAAGTACTGAATTTTTCGGGAATGTACTGAAAAAGTACTGTAAAAGTAGTGATTTTTGGCCCGCCTGTTTTAGTAGACATCCTGTTTATGTCTGTTACTAATGATGGATATAATTAATGTAACCAATTATCCAACCGATTTCCTTCCACGCAGTAACAAGATGCTTCGTTTTAAATGAGTAAACGAAAGGAAAAAGGCACCTAGAACTTTTACATCACTCTATAAACGAGCAAAATTTCAATAATGAAATGAAAACACAGATCCAAAGGATGAGGGACAAGCGCAACATTGCCGGCGCGGCGTTTTACGAGCTTCGGCCTATAGCTGAACTGCTATGCTAAGAAAGGACGCCTTTTCACCCTTCGAATATTACCAAATTTCCCCTCATCAAAGTACGTAACGTAATATCTCTAAAAGATTTGACTATGTACCTCAACATTTTCAGAGACGATAGACTAAATCTGACGGTATATTCTCTTAAACATTCAGATAAGAAAAACCACAAATTTCTAATAAACTTATATTTATGTAGAAAAATTTCGCAACGCCCGTTTTTTGATTCGACGTTTTTACTTAATAAGTCAGCGATAGCAGGGAGGAAAAATTTGAACTTGAAAAGTTACGGAAACGAATTAACATTCTTCGAGGGTGCGCTGTGAGCCATGTAAAAGCGGAACATACCGAACTGAATTCTTCAAATTCCTCCCACTACACAGAGATCGAGAATTATTCAAACGAAAACTAGAGTCCGTTCCGATTAATAGGTTAAAAATAAAAATGCATAACTAACATAATTCACACTTGTGTAATTTCAGAATATTTTTACGAGGGTTTCTTCATAACACAAGATTAGATAAAAATAAACCGAGAATCCCTCTTATATTCTTCACCTGAAACGGCTGAGGTCCAGGTTAATAAATATAACTCAAAATTAATTAAAAGATTGGAAATGCTACTTAATTAATCAGAAAAAAGTTTGGTAAGATGAAATTGTTGTCCGCATTTTCCGATATCTAAAAAGCATTCCACGCGTAAGAAATAATTTCGAGTGTTGTCTAATGTAATCTAGAAACTCAATCGACCAATTTTTTTTCTTTTCTTTTTTTTCCTTGGGCAAATAGAGGCCCTGCTGTCTCGAGAAGATTCATTTTTCCTGGCTTCGAAGTATGTTGCGGTTTCATACGCATCTGATAAATCTGAAATAACCAACAAATATCAAGAACAACCTATGGAATAATATATGGCAGAATCGAATCGGGCAAAGAAAATATCTCCTTCTGCAGGTTTACTACTTACTTCATGAGAGGAAGCGAACAAGTAAACCAGTGTGACACACTTTAAAAATCAGAAATTGACGCGTATGCTCGTCTCATCCACTTCATAATCCACTCATTTCCATGCTTCTCGGCAAAAGTGTAAAATCTAAAAGTTTCGTTCTATTGTATTGGTTTTTAAGTTTATTTGGAACATTGTGTATTTTTCTACTAAAGAAAAAATCATGGGTTATGAAAATTGTATAAGTGTATAAATCCCTACACTGGAAAAAAAAAAAACACATTGGATCTAGAGTCCAGACTTTTGAAAACATCGACAAGAAAAAATACTCTTGATTCAATCGGACTTAAGCTTAAATTAAGAACCCAGCCTCTTAATTTGAGCGGATTTCCTTTTGATTTAAGCTTAAATCTGATTGAATCAAGAGTATTTTTTTTGTCAATGTTTTCAAGAGTCTGGACTCTAGATTCAATGTGGTTTTTTCCAGTGTAGGAGCCCTTGCCCGCGGAATCTGGCATTTGTGAAGAAAATGACCTCTTTTGTGGAAAGATGCCAATGAATGTTTATCAAGTTGATCAGTTGCGATTGGCAACAATTCAATGTGTGTTTTACAATGGCAGTTGAAGTGCGCAGTGCCAGTGTTTGTATCTAGTTTACTAACGTATATAGACATACGTGTTAGCTTTAAAACTTTTGCCCAGCAAAACTTGAAGTTTACCTTGAATTCCTTGAAATTCTGGCTGTGGCCCTGAGAGTTGTGTCCTCCGAAAGCCGACCCGTCCCTTTCCGATCCCGCGGGATGGGGTCGACATTTTTATTGTGTTTACTTCCGTTTTACTTTTGACCCTCGTTCGCGCGACCTGATGCTAAGAGCCGCAGTTTTTTATCTAAAAAGACAGCATGCAACTTAGACCCGCTGTAAACCCTCTTATTTTATTTTCATTTGTCTTATCCTCTCGTTTCGCTGGCACCGTGATGGAGCCCCGACTCTGCCGTCTTTATGGCCGAGTCGTAATAATTCCGTCCCCTCTATGTCTCGTAAATTTAGCATTGGGTTCTCTCCTCATGCCATTCATGTTAACATCCAAGTCGACGGCTGATTTTGCTGAGAATTGAATAAAATCAATTACTTACTCTCCTTCAAAGGAGAATTGTTGGTTTATTATTTTAGGATGGCGTGTTTCAAAGAAGAGGGAGAGGGGGTTAATTTTTGTATCATTTTTCTTGATCCATAGTTTCATTGATTTCGTCCGTGACACAGGCCCACAAATGGACTGCATTTTGCAATTTGGAACTATAAATTCTATCTCTTATGGAAAAACACGTATGTCCATAGGGAAACTAATGGCACATACGTTGTTTTTAAATCGGGCGAGAATTTATAGTTCCAAATTGCAAAATGTAGTCCAAATAAGGTCACTGTGATGTAAATAATGATATTTTGCTCTGATTTTGGAAGTATGTCGAGTCAACTGACTCGTAGAGGAATTAAGTTGGTTTTTTCTTTTTTTTGGGGGGGGGGGTGAATTAAGCTAACGAAAATATGTAGCCCATCTACTATATTCCACGTAGAATGATGAGGAAACGTGTATCGAGATGTTTCATATCCAACCCTGTCCAAAGTCGAATGTTGCATTTTTGTCGCCGAAACGAGAGTTCCTGTGAAACGACGAGGATTCCAGTTTCCCAAAAGATATTTTGATCCAAATCCATTAGTTTTTCCTTTTGATCAAACAAGAAATTCCCATCCATGAACGAGAACATGGAACAGTTTGCAGCCGATCGTAATGTAACGAAGTGTGTAATGAGAACGTGGACCGACCAAGTTTCATAATTTGACGTCCGAAATAATTTGATATAATTCATCCATGAGCTGCGCGTTCGAACTCTGACCACGATCGTTTCCGCATCGCATCGCGCTCGCCGGCGCACGGTGGATCGTGGCAATAGGCGAGGTCGGACAAAATTTTGAAAACTTTCAAAGCTTAAAACTCCGCTCATACAAAACTTTGAGGTTTTAAAAGTGGTTTCGTTGATTTTCTCGTTAAATTTTCGACAAGCAGCACCCCTTAAGATTTCTAATGTGTCGAATTGAACATAAAAATGTGCAGTTTTAGTTAAAAAATCTTACGTCTGACCTCGTCTTACGTCTTGACTCGTTCCACTGTGCGGCGCGCCGCGGCGCTGCGGTCGCAATTAATGTCAAGCACCCTTGTTCTTCAGGAGACAGCGGTAAATGCACCACGATATGGGCCATGGTCAACACTTCTTCTTATGGGTTCCAAGGTGAACACCGCAATTCACGCACTGCTTTCTATGTTAGCACACGGTAAAAAACAGGGTAGTCGACGCAACCAGCGGCTGGTGAAAAACGCGCCAGCTACCGTGCGGTAGTTACGATAACTACCGCGGTGGAGGTCACGACTAACCCGATAGTTTTTGATGTAACTACCGGGTTCGTTGTAGTTATCGTAACTACCGCACGGTAGCTGGCGCGTTTTTCACCAGCCGCTGGTTGCGTCGACTACCCTGTTTTTTTCCGTGCATGGCAGAGTACCCGAATCGCCCCAACAACGCAGTCAAAAGAGTCACAGGCTACCCAATTCGGTATCTCTCGCATAACGAGGTCCAGAACTGGGCTTAATTGGAATTCATTTCGGGATGAGGAACTACTACTTTCTTGCTGTAACCAGCCCGCTGCTCTACGTAACGCAAAACGCGAAGGGAACCCTGGACAAGAGCCGCTGGGCGCTCGCTCCCCGCGGACGATTACCACGTTATCAAAGCGTCCAATTAAAAGCATTGTTTTCCGGCGAGTTTTCACGGGACAACCGTGACACCGCTCACCGGCGCCGCACAATGGGTCGAGTCGACCGGAGAGGTCGGACAAAATTTGGAAACTTTATAAGCTGATACTCCGTTCATACAAAACTTGGAGGTTTTAAAAGTGGTTCCATTGGTTACCTCGTGACATTTTTTTCTTGAAACATCCCTTACAGGTTGCCACAGTCAGGGAAACCCGGGAAATGTCAAGGAAAATGACGAAAATTTGTTAAATTACCTTCATTCGCTTTCTAGAATTGGGTTTGAGGTTTCAAACAATAAATTTTGCCTGAAAACTCTTTTCAATCATGCCTTTTCAACCATCCGTCAC